TATGAGAAAAATGGAGAAACTTGGTACCAAGTTGCTTGGAGCAACTTGGTAGTGATATGACCTAATTTTATCCCTACATCTATATTGGAGTTGGTGAAGGGTGGATGAGGCTCTATTTTTGAGGTGTGGTGTAGGGGCAAGATTAGGCCACATCACTACCAAGTTGCATTAAGCAACTTGGTACCAAGGTTCTTCATTTTCCTCTCTCTCTCTATGAGAAAAATGGAGAAACTTGGTACCAAGTTGCTTGGAGCAACTTGGTAGTGATATGACCTAATTTTATCCCTACATCTATATTGGAGTTGGTGAAGGGTGGATGAGGCTCTATTTTTGAGGTGTGGTGTAGGGGCAAGATTAGGCCACATCACTACCAAGTTGCATTAAGCAACTTGGTACCAAGGTTCTTCATTTTCCTCTCTCTCTCTCTCTATATATATATATATGTGTGTGTGAGAGAGAGAGAGAGAGAGAGAGAGAGAGAGAGAGAGAGAGAGAGAGAGAGAACAATTTAGAGAAGTTTATGATGAAAAAGAGGGATCATAAGTTGAAATTATGACATAATGAGAGACGTAAAGAAAGATGCAAACGTGGGACAGAGTGTGAAACAAGTGCATGTGCTTTTGATGTAAATGACATTTTTTATGTGGAAGATAAACCTACACCTCACTCCTCTTCATCACCATGATTATTTGTTGTGTGACTCATGTCCCACAAATCTTACAAACATAATTTCATTTTAATTTTTTTAGTCTCCTAACCATGCACAATCCTTTAGTTTAGACTTATAGATTGCATGTTTCGTGAACCCAAAAAGTAGAGAAAATATTTGTTGGTGCGTGTATACTTGAAATTGACACCTTGTGTAGAAAAGAAAGGGGACTCCTTTCATATAATTAATTAGCAAAACAAATTGGATAAGATTCTTTATCCTTAATCTAATGGCATTGAAATCTTGTGACCGACAGCTGGACGGGTGACCATGTGTTGAACAATGAATTTCCAACAAATATCAATCTCTTTTTCTTGAGATGGAACTAATCATTTCACACTAGGTGGAACCGTATTTTCTTTTTAGTTGAAATGCAAAAAAATTTATATATTATATTAAGAAGAGTAAGACATAAAGGTTTATTACAATTTGGTCACTTTATTAGTTTTTCAATTTAATATGTAAGATATTGTTGGGTTAGTTTTGAATTTGGATCCTCTCCACTACAAAAAAATAGTGGAGAGACCACTAATTTTAATTTCAATCGTTGATTACTTAATAGATGGTTATGATACAATCTAAATCTAACACTCACCATAACCCCGTGTATTGCACTCATTCCTAATTTGCACTCAATATAATACATATTTCCATTTAATATTCAGTAATTTTTAAGAGTTGCTATATTAAAAATGCTAGGTGGAATGAGCGTGCATTGCGCGAGGTCAAATATCTTAACAGTGTACTTTTTGGTATATTTATTTCCTATAACATGTTTGCGAAAAGTTTATGATTACCATAATATATTAAATTTTTTGGAATATTTCCATGGTTGTTGATTTTAACATTTTGCCTTTCAGAGGAATCGTGAAGTTTAAAGACTTCAAATATTAATGATTTAATAATAATTTGAAGGACTAATTTCAAAATATTAATGATGTAAGAGACCAATATCAAAAAGACTTTTATTATTAGTGAAAAAAATAAATTCCTGAATTCATCAAAGAAAAATGATAGGTTTTTATTTAGTCCTAACTGATTTTGTTGAGTTATAAAAAGATCGCTTCCACCTATCATTTACAGTTCGAAGACCGAGTATTACAGTAATTCAAAAGCTTTTTTTTCTAGAATTCTCTGAGTCAAAATGTGCAAATTCAATGAAAGAAAATATCA